AAACAGGACAAATGGCCCCAAATCCCTACTGAGGAAACAGAAACGGACTTGAAATGAAAAAAGATCCAGAGCAAATGTATCCAGTAATTGGACTTACTACATAACTTTACCAAGTCTCAGTTTGTCACAATAATGGCAAATATTTGTTGAGATCTTATTAAGTGATAGGCATTGTGTTGCATTCAACCCATTGGCTCATTTAATCTTATCTGGTAGCAAAACATAGGCATTGCTACACCCACTATAGAGAAATTATAGTACAGTCATATGTTGCTTAACATCGGGGATACATTCTGAGAAGTGTGTCATTAGATAACTTCACCACTGTGTGAACATCATAGAATACACTCACAAAGAACCAGATGGAATCCACCAAGGTTACCTGCACAGCATGTTAGACAGTAATAAGTATCTGTTTATCTAACATAGCTAAACATAGAAAAGATACAGTGAAAAGCACCGTATAAAAGATAAAACAAAGGAGCCCTGCACAGGGCCCTTACCACAAATGGAGCTTACAGACTATAAATTGCTCTGGCCAAGTGTGTGGTAGGGGAACGTGAAGGTCTACACATTGCTGTACACTGCTATAGATTTTATAAACACTGTACACTTAGGCTGCACTGAGCTTACAAAACAAATTCTTTCTTCAATAATAAATTAACTTGAGCTTCCTGTAACATTTTTACTTTATAGGTTTTTAATTTTGTAACTTTTGACTCATGTAATAAGACACAAACACACACTAGATGGTGGTACCAAAATATTTTTTATAATCTTCTTTTATAAAGTTTTTTCTGCTTTTCAATTTTTTCTTTTTAAACTTTTTTTGTTAAAAATTAAGACGAGACCTACACAGGGTCAGGATGATCAATATCAATGTCTTCTACCTCCACATCTTCTACATCTTGTCTACCTGAAGGTCTTCAGGAACAATAACACCCATGGTCATCTCCTATGATAGCAGTGCTTTCTTCTGGACTCCTTCCTTAGGACTGCCTGAAGCTGTTTTACCCGTTTAATTTTTTATAAGTAGGAGAAGTATACTCCAAATTAATGAGAAAATGTATAGTATAGTAAATACATAAACCAGTAACATGTCTGTTGATTGTCATTACCAAGCAATATTACTGTGCATAATTGTATATGTTGTGCTTTTATACACTGTCAGAGCAGTAACTTTGCTCAGCATCACCACAAAACACATGGTCACTAGACGATAGGAAATTTATGGTGCCACTAAAAATCTTAAAATCAAGACTTTGTCATGTGACACATGACATCTGCCCAAGTTAACACAGGTAGTGAATGGTAGAACCAAAATTCCCTTCCATTTCTGTCAGGCTCTTAGTTCTTACTACACCCAATGATAATAGCAGCGTAGTAGAAAGAGTGACAATTTGGAAGTCAAGTGAAATCAGTGGATTGTTTACCATAGCTACCCAAAAATGTTGTGCACAAACCTCAAAGATTGCTCAGGAAAAAGATCAGCCAATCACAAAGACAAGAAAGCCAAAGAATTTTAAATCTCAAATAAATTAGGCAGTTGAAGGTTCATAAAACAATGGAACCTAATTCAGCTCCCTACCTAACGGCCAAATATTCTACCCAACATCAATTACTGGTTGTCATAGTTAAACCCCGACTCCTTCTGGTCCAGGGTCACATCACTTTTCTCTTGACCTTTCCTTCAATCTTTTTCAAAGAAAGAGGGAAATAATAAACTCACACAAATTGAACAAGTCAGTAATCATTGTGGAGCATAAGACAAAGGATAGTGGCTTTGAATGCTGTTTGGGGCCTGGGCATTGGCTGTATAGCAGTGGATTTCATAAATTCCAGGGTCAAGCATGTTTCTGGTGGCAGCAGACTCGGCTAATATGAGAAAGCTCAGGATTAGGTAATAACAATAAAGAAGTCAGCCAAGTTGCCACCCAGAAATTACCACAGCAGCTGCAGTCCAGAAATGCTAACCAGCCAGTACCCCTAGGAGTAAGCCATCCCCAGCTGTGAAATATTTGGAGTATTTTCTCATTTTCCTTTGTTCCAGAATCAGGAGCTACCATATATGCCCTGCAGTGATTTCTCCTAGCTTGCTTTATACACAGGATTCAAATTTGTCTCTCCCACAAAACTGAATGTACAATCACTGCTTGCTACCAGGATGGAGCAGTGGTACCTAATCATGTCATTACGTCTTCATTTATCTATGCTAGAGCAGCTTCTTCCTTTCTGAAAAAAAAAAAAATCACTATTTGCAAAAACTGAAGCTTCAAGGGCAGTTTACTTTAAACCCTCAAGAAAAAATAGCCAGTCTCAAAGAACCAACTTTTACATATAATTTAATACTATGTTATTAATCCACGACTAGTATGATTCTTAAGGTTTTTTTTCCCTCAAGTCTCTGAACAGCCTAAAAGAGAAACCCTTAAATCCTTTTTTATTAACTTACTTTGAAGTTGATAATCCTAGGTTTATACAACTTCTTTTATAGCTTTTACAACTTCTCTTACAATTATGCATATCGTACTCAAATTTTTGCCACTTTTGAGTCAGCTGGGTGTGATTGATTTTTTTTTACAATATTTACTTTTAAATAAATGTCCTTACAAAGCTCAAGAAAAATCAAGCGAAGTTTGGTGACCAAACAGGACTCTGAACTGTCATGTAGACTACCTGACTTCCTGCGTGATGTCAGATGTGTAATCTCCATGTCTCTTCATCAACATGACTGCTAATCAGTCTTCCTCACCTTGTGGAATCATGATGTGAACAACAAACAAGCACAAGATGCATCTATGAGAATATATGATGGTGACATTATAAAGTCGAGCCTCTATTTCATTTTTAAATATCATAACTATTTGGAAAAATATAACTACCACCCTACATATAAACATTCTGTTTACAAAGTGCTTTTATGATGCTATTAAATTTATAATGTGCTTTTATTGCATCTTCATGGCTGCTTTTTATTCATATCATAAATAATCATTAGTGCCTGTGGCATTATTTTTAATGCTGGTTTTAATGCTATGGCAGGCTCAGAGAGGTTAAATTGCTGGTCTAGGTCCCCCTTGTTAGCCGGGTTCCTGAGGCAGTAGTTTCCTAAACCCTAGTCCTTCCACCAAAACAGATCTGCCCCAGTTTCTATCAATCCCTTATCATTACATAGCGTAACAGATCAATTTCACCTATGGTGTTAACAGCTGAAAATGGCCTTATATGTTCTACTTTCCAAATACTAAGAACATTTTAACCTAAATTTTCAGTGTTTTTTCAAATAACCATATGAAATGAGGACAGTAATAGACAGGCAGATTGGACAAAGATTTGGTGAGGTAAGAAGGGAGAAGATGTTCAAGATTGAATTCCTTCAAGTCATACAACACAATAGCTGCATGACCAGCCTGCTCACACTTAAAAGTAGGCAGAATTAGAGCCATACCTACCTCCTGTGTGACTGGAGTCAAGCAAAAAGGTTGTCACCTCTACTCATAATGTTCTGTGAACCACTCCCCCCATGCCCTGTGCAGTGTCTACATTCTCATTCATCACACCTCTCTGGGAAAGAAATGGTGCCCTCTCATATCCCATTCACAATTTTGTCTGAACATGGTCTCTATAGCTAATGTACAGCAGAGGGTGAGACTAAATAATTCTAGCAGTTGTTTGATTCAAACTAAAAGAAAATCCTTTCCCTCAGATTATCCAAGAAATTGGCCCTTCTGCCTTGTGTTGGAGGCAATTAATAGGAAAATTTCCTCCCTCTGCAAAATGAACAAATTTGTTCAGTATTCCTATCCTGGGACAAAGTCTGCCTCTCCTCCTCCCTGTCTCTCCAAGCCTCCCTGGCCTCTGGCAGCTCCAATGAGGCTCTCACAGTATAGCCACAGAAAGATGAAAGGTGAGCCTGGACCAAGGACAGCATATATCAGATTAAACATGGAAATTCAGGAAAGATAGGTAAAAGGGCCAAGTTCCCCAGATTGAGCAGTTCATATTAACTGATAATACCAAATGATCATTTAGGTCTCCTAGACATCAGCTGTTTCTCGGAACCAAGATGTTACATCTACAGCCTCTAAGGCTTCCCAGCCTTCTTCCGGACAGGACAAGGCACACATACAAAATGACATTTGCATCATGGCCTGGTGGAAATGGCTGGCGATTGGGAACCTCCAATAAAGTCGGAGGCAACCAGCCCAGGTTACTCGGCCCCTGCAGATCCTCCTGCCCAGACTCTAAGCCTGAAGAAATCAGTGTTGTGGCGATCAGCTGGGGTTGAATCCTTGGAGCCCGTTGCTTAAAGTCTGTGAGCGATGCTGTCTCATCTCCTCAGCTCAGCCAACCCACTCTGACCCATCAATCAAGACAGCCTTCCCTGTCTGGAAGTTGCCACCACCACCACTCACACACACACACACACACACACACACACACACACACACACACACACACACACACACACACACACACTTGCACGCACACTTTGAGCCAACGCTAACCTCTTCTTCACTCTGAGGTGAGCTAGTCCTAAGACTAAAAATGCCATAGATTCTGTCTCTAAAATTTACTTACCTAATCCTTTTCAAAAACAAACCTGAATTTCTCAAGGAAAGACCGGTCCTCGGGCCTGTCCTTTCCCCTATAGCACCCTCCTCTTCCCTCTCCATCAGAGCTAGAAGGCCCTTAACATATAGGAAAGTGTGGCCTGTAAACCTCCTGCCAGAGTCACTTCTTCCTCCTGGTACTAAATCAGAATTCCCAATTCCCTGGGTGGAAGACACATGTGATCTACAGTTTAAGCCAGCTCTGTGACCCATGGTTGCCACCACTAGGTTAGACAGGCTCTGGGTTAATCCAGCCGCCTCCTTTTACAGAGAAGAGTAGAAAGCAGGAGCAGGAGAGGTGCGTGCGCTTGTCCTCCAAGGCCACACCGCGCCAGGGTCTGGCACAGCCGCAGGTGCGCGGCAGCCCCGGCCCGCGCCAGCACTCACCCGCCTGTAGACGTCCTCCCGGCTGGCCTCATACTTCTGCTGCATGCGCTCCTCCAGGAAGTAGATGCGCAGCTTGAGGCTGAAGTTCTCCTTCTTCAGGTCATTGAGGTGCTGGGACAG